TGAGTTTCTGATAGTACAGCGACAAACTTAAATCAGTTCAAACCCTATTTTTAACCTGTCAATTCACAAAATTCTTTAACTATTTGTGAATCAAAGAATGCCGAAAAATCATACTTCTCAACGAAGATATCAGATCTCGTAGTTCTCTTTTGGAAAATTTTGAAAATGTCGTCTGGCTAATACGTTAACGAAAAGAACTTGGAAAAAATTAAGATATCTGCAAGACAATAACAATAAGCTTCTACATATATCTGTGTTAAAATTTGAAAAAAATCGTTTCACAAATTAAAAATAAATCTGAAAAATAAGTTGGTTGAATAACGCTAAAGAAACCGGTTGAATAAATGATGTTACTTTATACTTTTTGTTTTGTTTTGGAAGCGATATGTTCGCGACGTGTTGCTCGAATTTTTCGCTTCTAGGTTCTAGGACATTTTGACCAAAAAAAACTTTAAAAAATGATTTCTCGCTTTTGGCTGAAATTCCGGGTCAAAATTAGTCCTATTTCCAAGTATTTTCAAAAAGTCAGCTTTCGAAATTTTCCGGAGATTTCTCCGAACATTTTGAATTGGTCAAAACATTTCGGTCACGAAAATGTTCAAAAATTTCCTATTGAGTTCGTTGATTCACTATCAACCCGGAATCATACAGAGCCAGTTTTTGAAATTTTCAGTTGTGATGGGATACTGCATTTGAGATATATGCCGTTGTCTGGAGAAAACTTTAAGTTACTTAAATACTGTTTTTTGTAAACCTGAGATTGTACTGAATCAATTTAATATATAATTTCCTAATATAGAAGCTCAGTTACTGAAAACAATTCACTCACCTCTGAAACTCTTGAAGCATGACTCATAATGGATTCATTACTTTTGCTTTCTGGTATTGGTGGACAAGCTCGATTCAACGGTGGACGCCGCCGAACACCCTGAAATAAGATATCAATTGATGATAGAACAAAAGAGCCGTAATACACCTTGAGGAACCCGAACACCATTCTGCAACTAAACAGGTGTCTTTTTGGTTGAGTTACGGGTGGGGTAAGTGTCTAGTCAATATAAAAGAGTGTATATTTTTTCTTTTGCGGTTGCTTTGGAGACGGAATAGGCGACGAAATGTGATAGAATGAGAAAGAAAAGAGAAAAAAGAGTCTCTAGGAATAGAAGGAAAGAGAGTTTTCTCTATTCGTGTTCCAATTGGAAACGGAAAGCAAAACGAGCTACATCGTAAAACGAGGCACGCTTTATGACTTTCTCTGGAGTGGTTTCGGTTCTTTCGTAAAATGCACTACTCACCGTAAACATCTTGACGGGCTGTGGTGGTGGAGGTGGTCGATTTGATGGAATTACCATCAGAGTGGTATGTGTTCGAGGATACGGATATGATCCGCTCGATGATGAGCGGATTATTGATTTGTTCCTGAAAATTGGATATGGTTTTCTCGGACGGAATCCATTATTCATCATAACTTTCATCCATCTTTTCAATAAGTATCTCTGTTTTCTGGAAGTGTCTTCAATCTCCATTAGTCTCTCTTCAAAATTTTCAACAGGCTAGAACTCACTATTCAGATTTTTGTATAAATTATGTAGACAGGAGATGAGATAATGATTTTTGAGAAGTATGGAATTTAGAGACTAGATTGACAACTATTCAGTTTTGGCGGAAATTTGATTGTAGAATCTTTTGCGGAAATTGGATTCGTGATCTGAACTTTGATCATCCTGGATGGCTATGAGTTTATCAATAATGTGTCAAACATACACTTTGAGGAACGGAAGATACAAATGTTGATTTATTTACGGAGCACTTACAGACAAAAATTTGAAATTCATCCTAGATACCGTAAAACCTTTATTAGAAGGGCCGGTTTTCTATTGTTTCAAGGTACTTGAGCCCTCATATTACAGGGCCCTTATATTACAAGCCCTTCCATTTTTCAGGTCATTTCTTTTCCGAAAATTCCCATCAATAAATTCTTCGAAGTTCAAAAATTATGAAAATGATCGATTTCACCGACCTTGAGCAATTTTTTGGACAGAAAATAGGGTCTCAACCATTTTCGGCAGAACTGTGAAATTCCAGTACAGAAATTTTTAATTTCAAACAACGTATTTTGATGGGGTCTCTTCTAATAAATGTATTACGGTTTTCATTTTTGGCGGAAATCGGATTGTAGAACCTCTAGCCTGAACTTCAACCTTTCACAATAGCTACGAGTTAGTTAATTATTCATCGAACAAACATTCGGAGGTACTGTAGAGACAAAGAGGGGTATATTCCCAGAGCTCTCACAGTCAAAATCTTAGAATTTATCCTAGACCTTATTAAGCGATGCCCAATATATTCATGCTCAAATTAAACATAGAAATACCATTTTCAGCTATAGCATATTTTATTCAAAGAGTTTAAATTGAGCTCAAAACGGAAAGATTCAAATCATAAAAAAAATAAAAAGGGCTTTGTGATTGACAAGTCTACAGAATGACACTTCCTTGTCATCTTCGAATTCGTTCTATTCAAAAAAACTCAACTTTTCAAATTGATAAGTTCAAAGGAATGTTTTCCTTTGTTCTTTTACTCTTTTCTTCAAAACTAAAACAAAAGCGAAAAAAGAAAAGAGAGTGAGCAAGTAAAAAAACTCAGAACAAATTGACTAGCAATCTGTCAAAATCCCGTGGAGCAGAGAACAAGGGATTTCCTCGTTTTGCATATCTTACCCAAAGCCTGGTAGGACCAATAATTGAGTTTTCTAGATTTTAGAGTTCTGAATTAGGTTGAGCTATACAAAAAAACCGACCGTGAAGATGGCGAGGAAGAAGAAGATGAGGCTGAAGTGCTCGAGGAATCCATTGGCAACGAATAAGAAAGAAGAAAAAGAAATGTTCAAAAAAAGAAATGAAGAAGAAGAAGAAACTTTTCTTATTCTTTCTTCCTCGATTTGGAAATTGTGACGGGTGAGTGTGTGCTGTCGTTGGCTTTAAGAGAAAAGTCTTTGTCGCCGTTTCGTCCCGTGTGTCTCCGATTATTTCTTTTTGATGTGTGCAAAAAAAGTGAAGAAGGAAAAGAAGAAAAAGGAGAGAAACCGGGGGCGAATTGACGAGCCGAAACGGGGCGAAAAAGTTGATAGAGTGGGAGAGAGTCCGTTGTAGAAAGAGATATTATTATTATTATTATTATAAAAACTCTATGTTTGGTGGATATATACTAGATGAATGATAGAGAGTATGTTTCCTCTACGACGCCTTCATTATTTGATACTTACCGCCTCCATGGGAAAATGAGAGTCGATAAGACTTCCATATGATGAATGAAGATGAAGATGGGAAGGGGAATGAAATGATATGTGTCAATATGGCATGTAACTGAAATCTAAAACAACGGAAGTTGTTTGAAAAGAAGACGAAAGACGGAAAAGGTAATTTGATATTCACACCGGAAGAGATGGAACAAGAATCAGGACATCAAGTAAAGGTTCGTCAGGAAACTGTTAGGAGAAGGAACATGGGATAGATTACTGTAGATTTTTTGAAGAATATTAGATTTAAGAGGGTTGGAGATTTAGGTTTGAAATTCAGAAGTGCGAACTAGTACAACGAAGAGGTCAGAATCTGTGTTGATAGGGAATATAAATTCGCTTCACGGAAGACGGAAGACGGAAACGGAACAATTTTTCCGGATTTTTCCGGGTGAAGAATTCAACAAATACTACAAAAGTTCTAGTCTTCCGTCATTTGTCACTTTTTTGGACTTTACGGAAGACGGCAGACGGAAATAACTTTTTTTCGAAGACGGGAGGACGGAGGACGGAAAACGGAATTACACTGCTCAGAATCAGAAGCCAAGAAAAACAAACGACGATGACAAACGCTCGCACAAAATAAAAATATAGGGGACCCAAAAAAGCAATCAAGTTCACAAAGTTCTTTCAAAACCGATCCCGAATGTTCCACATATCGAGCATATAGAATTGTTGTCCCATGACATTTGAAAACTGAAATTTCAAAAATAACTTTTGAATTGAATTTTTTATTTTTCTCACATTTTCAAAAGTAAGGTTTCCCAAACTTGAACTGCAACTGACAACTTTTTAAGAGCATTCTGAAATCGTTTGATGTTTGTGAACTTCTGTTACAACTTATCAAATTCGATTTTTAAAGTCTTACGAGTGGCTCATTTATAATTTTGAAAAAAATCTTTACCGTTCCCTTCAAATGCCTAGCATCTGAATCATCAAAATCCGACCGATCGTTGTCATCGAAACCTGGCTTCTCTAATCTAACTTTTTAATTGGAATTTCAATAATCCCTATTTCCTCACCCGTCCCGTAATCCTATCATACTGCCAATCATTGTGATCGTTCTCCATTCCTTTTGTAAAACTGAAAAAGCCCGAATTGCCGAACTCAAAGTTTATTTTGAAACTATCCTCACCTTTTACTCTATTATTCTATTCGGATCCTTCAAATTCGTTGATCCTAGAAGTTGTCGCCGAAGTCCTATGTCCTGTGAAACAGGGACCCGCAATCCTGAAAAATCCTGGAACTTGAACGTTGGGAACTAAGTACTGATTCTTTCCAAACTCAGTTGAATCCTAGAGTTGCCCTAAATTTGTTAGGCCTTCACGGAGGTCACAAGAATATTTGTGTTGTAAAAATTGATGTGAAAAATTAAATCGAGTACACAAAAAGAAATATTACGACCTAATTTGAGTTTCTGATAGTACAGCGACAAACTTAAATCAGTTCAAACCCTATTTTTAACCTGTCAATTCACAAAATTCTTTAACTATTTGTGAATCAAAGAATGCCGAAAAATCATACTTCTTTTATAGGATTCCTACTACAGTATTTGCAGTTCCTACAGTATCCACATTATTGATAACAGGAAAAAATATTTTATTTAATTTCAGCAACAAAAAGCAGGAACATCAACTGAAACTACAGCAGACCTTGTAATTGAGAATCGTAATGTAGTGGACGTTTTACATCGCCTCGACGCCAACTCCAACAATGTAAGCTCCCATTCATTTTTCTTGCCCTTTTCCGTGTCATCCCATCAATTCGACACCATCCCCGAAACCACTATGATTAATTCGTCGAATGCACGTTTTTGGCTCACACGCTCCCTTCTCTTTTCTTTCTCTTGAATTCTCTAGAAGTCCCAATTTTTACTCCTATTGACACAAGAGAAGAAGGCGGAATTTCTGAAAATGTATTCATAGAACATAAATTTGCATTCCATTACATCTGAGTTTTTTTTCATATCTATTCCTTCCCCCTCCTTTTCCTTTCAATTTCTTTTGACTTTCTCGGTTTTCGATTCTTTTGTGCCAGCCAAGAAACAGAAACAGCGACTTGTATGCATTTTGTGGCCAGGCATACAAAGATAAGTTTTGTCGTGTCGCTAGTGTCTCCCGGAATCCACCCATGGGACCATTCAATTTCATGTTTGTCCCCTTCATTCCTTGATTGTCCTACCCCTTTCCACTTGCCCCAACATCCCCGACTTTTACACCCGAAAAGACCTTCTTCCCTTTCATTTTCTTCTTCTCATTGCACTATTATTTTCCAGATTGTCTCTACTTCTTCTGTGCCATCATCAAGAAAATCAAAAGAAAAGAAAGCGAAAATGTCATCAACACCAAGAAGTCCTCTGATGAGTATGGCCAACAGTGTGAAGAGCAAACTCACTAAAATCACACATTTGGGAAGGAGTTCCGAGAGCAGTTCCTCGTCAAATATCAAAACGAGCCAAAGCTTTTCTGGGTTAGTTGATTTACCAAAAGTTTATTTTTCTATATATATTTCCAATCTTGCCCTATTCTTCATTTTTTTGGAAGCTCTAGAATTTCTATGGTGGATAGTTGCTTACCGTAAACCCTCTAATTGAACGCCCTCCCCAAACTGTCAACTTTTAGCTTGTATATCTCGGTTCTCGTAAAAGATATCAAAACGTGATCAACTGATAAAATGTTCATCGTAATGTCCAAAAAGTTTTTATAGTGAATCAATTTTTGATATCTTTCACAAGAACCGAGTTAAATTGATTCAAAGTTGAAAGTTAGGGGTGTCCTTCTATTACAGGTTTCACGGTATTTTTATCTTCAACCGATTCCAAAAAGTGTAATAACAAATCATTGCAAGAAGAAAACATCACAATTGTGAACAGTAACTGACATTGTTGGAAAAAAAGTCTGAAGTAATTAGTCAAAAAATCAAAAGCACCAAGTTTGATATTTTTAATAATATTTTAATATTTTCAATTTAATATTTTTAATTTTAATTTTTTTAAATGGATTTCAATCAACTCAATTTTCACATTTTTGGTCATTGAAAGATATTATTCTCCCACTAGCTAAATGACATCATTTTTCTCATTTTCTGCAACATTCCCAATTCTCTCACCCAATTCTTCATGCATTTTATTCTCAACCCTTCTTTTCTAACCCATTCCTTTTTTCTCCATTTTTTCAACCAAGTGACCAAGTCATTATTTCCGTTCCGGATTGCTATACTAAATTGAAGTCATACTACTAATAATAACGAAGCCTAAGAAGAACTCACGGAAAAGAGCAATTACCTCGAAAAGTTTGACGACAAAAACATTCGGTTATTTTTTGGCGAACAACTGGAACGACGCCTCCTTCCTTATTCTTCCTTCTTCCTCTTAGTCTTATCCTCATTCTTTTGTTTTTCGGTGGTTCCAGAAGTTTTCGCGGCACACCATCCGAAAAGAAAGAAGTGTCTTCTCTGTTAAGCTCACCGCGCCGTCAATGATATATTCGAGACGAAGACGAAGAAGCTTATGCGAAGTGTTTCTTGTCATTCATAAGCCCTTCTTCTACTTTTCTTTGTCAGATTTTTCGTGTATTCCTTCTTTTTGTTTCTCTCCTCCCACTAGTCTTCCTTGTCAAAAGTTATGTTGTTTTTGCAGTTATTTGTTGGTTTTTAAAAAACTTCATGTTCTATTTTTTGCAGAATCCGTCAACCAAAACAAGTTCCAAAACGGATTGATCAAAACGCAAATCGGGTCATCAAATCGTCGTCTATGGAAGTACCCTCGACATCAAAGGTGAGATAATTTAAAAATATCATTTTATAAAGGGTGGCGCATGATTAACCGGAGTCAAGTTTTTACTAGCCTAAAGATTGAAGAAAGCGTTTCCTGGAGCTCAATTTTGGAGTGCAAACACTCAAATAATTCAACAGTAAACCGGAAAAGTTTCAAATTATTCTATCAACGTTGAGCTGATAATGAGTTATCGTTTGTAAAATTTGCTTCATCTAATGAAAATCACAACGAACATTACGCTGTTCATTTTTGAACAATCGTAACAATACTTAGACTTGAGGAATCACTTTAAAATTTCAGTAGTTTTAAAATGATATTTCTACTGAAACTTAAAATGATAATGCTACTGAGTTGTGTGCTTCCAAGATACTTACAATTAGGTCTAAGATATATCGGTATTAATGAGACCGGCTAATTGTGCTACCCTGTAATGAAATCTGAAAGAAATTTATTTTTCCAGGTTTGTATTCCACAGGACCCAACTCCCCTTGTCGACGATAAAATAGAGGAAATCTCTGAAGCAGGTCTCATCTCGAGAAGTGAAATGGCACCTCCGAAACCAATGGAACACGTCTGTGTGAAATTGGAAGAAGACGTTCTTGTTGTCACCAAAGAGTTCGATGAACGGTATCCAGGGTGGGATATAGGATTACGAGTATATCCAACGATACTTTAGTTTTCAGGCAGAAAAGATCGGCAAGCCCTGACCCACCAGCAGTGGAGGAGAGTCAGACAATGTCAGAATTGGATCAGATTCCATCTGAAACAGTTGTAGAGACAATTTCGGAAGAATTGGATAATAATGCAAATCAGAAAACACCTGGACCAGTTCGAAGAGTCATTAAGGAGACGACAACAACTACGGTCACAACCACAACATTCTCGGAGAGCAGTCCGGTTCCAATAATCGAAAAGATGGAATTCGTGGAAAAGCAGGAATCTATTCTTGTCCCAAAATCTCATCTAGATACTGCTGCTATTCATGTGGATGTTCCTGCTCCTGTCCACATTCCGGAAGCTGTTGTCAGTCCGAAAAATGAGAGATTCGTGTCACCTGAAAGATATGTTCTTCTCGTCAAAACTCCCGAAGCACTCCGGAAGCATAGAACACTGACTATTGGAGAGAAAGATCAAAATGATGTGAAACCAGAAGAAGAGATTCAGTACACTAAAATGGAAACTGTGAAGTTCAAGGAGATCAAAGAAAAAGTAAAGTATGAGGAACCGGTGCCCAAGGAAAAGTTCATTTTGACTGTGAAGACTCCAGAAGCAATCAGAAGACATCACACGTTCACAATCAGAGACAAATCACCCGAAGAAGAGATGAAAATTACCAAATCTCAGTCGGATGTGCATGTCAGTAAGAAACTGGTGAAACAGACATCGGAACCGGAAAGAAAAACACTTGAGAAGGATTTATTCAAAGAGAAAGAAGACGTTGTTCCCGAGCCAAAGTTTGTGATCGTCATGAAGACTCCAGAATGTCTCAGAAGACATCACACATTTACTATTGGAGACCGTCCGAAGAGCCCAGATTATCCGTACATTGAGGAAGGAGAAATCACTGAACCGATTGCAACGATTGGACCACCAGCCGATAGAAGGAAGAAGGAAGAAGAAAAAGAAAAGAAGAAAAAAGAATGGGAAGAATATGAGAAACCACCCCCAGAGAAGTACATTCTCACGACTACAACTCCATTAGCCATTCGGAAATATCAGACGTTTGTTGTCGAAGCGAAAGAAGAGAAGGCGATTCCTCAATCGATGAGTGCAGATGCTGTGATGATGACAAAGAAGGGAAAAGTGCAACGATCGGAGTCAACGGATTCAAAGAAGCACAGCTATTTGCGGAGATTGCAGTTCGAGTTGTTCCGGGGAAGAAGCAGGGAACGGAAAACGGAGAAGCAGGAGAAAAGACAGAAATCGCTGGATGAGAGGAAGCCAGAATCAACACAAAAGTACATTCTTTCGACAACAACTCCCATAATGATGCGGAAGTACCAGACATTTGCGATTGTCGACGGAAAACCAAAAGATGGAGAACTTGCGAACTTGCAGTCCATTGAATCGTCTTATCAGAAACAAGTTCAAAAGGACATGTCTTTCGAGGAAGAAAAAACAACCTCTCCAGCAAAGACTTCTGATTTTTATTCGATCACTGCAACAACTCCATTGACGAAGAGGAAGGTCGTTGTAGAAGGTGACTTTCATAAATCTTTTTAATCAATAAACATTTTATTTCAGAAACTGTGACATCATCTGTTCACCAATTATCTCTTGACGAAGCTATCGGAAGTCCAACAAAGAAACCCATCTCTCCTGAGCCACGTCATCTATTCGTAATGGGCGGAAGGCGTTCGACGACACCTCAAGAGGAGCGGAAAGTAGAGAAACTACACGAGCCTCCAAGGAATTTGAAATTGGATACTGACAGAAGTCAGTCGGATAATGCTGAACTTCTCGAGGAGAGAAAGTCAACCATGTCCGGAGATCTAACATCTCCAGAAGAAGATATTCCAATGGATACAAACTTGACTCCAACTACAGAAGACGTTATGGAAGCAGTGATTATTTCAAGAAGAATTGAAGGTTTGATGACATCTCCAATTGAAGAAGAGCCGGAAGGTGTAACATCTTCTATTCGTGACTTGTCAATTAAATCGTTGGAGAAGAAAAGAAACAGCGATTCGGAAAGACCTGCTCCTGTATTCACGCCCCCTAGTCCACCAAAAGACAAGCCATTCCCAGTGATGACTGTTCCCAAATCCACCTCGACGTCTTCATCTGATTCCGCTCATCCGATGACTTCTTCCTCAAGCTCTTCTAGAATAAAGCCAACTCAACTTCCAATCAAAAAGACTATTCAAGTTGTGGATCCAATGCATATTGTCGAGTTGAAACCGGAACAAAAGTCCAAAAAAGAGGCTTTGGCCTCAAAGTGAGTGTGATCCATGTGCCTTTATCTATTGTGTTTTTCTGTTTTGCCTCTCCCAGTTTCTCGCCTGTCCTTCCCTTGTAGTCCCGTCCGTATTCTGTATATTCAGCATTCTCAGGTCTCTTCGTAATGCTGGAAAGATGCTCACTCCGTCGTTCTTGAGGAAGGAGAAGAAGGTGAGAAAGTTATTTTGGGAAAATAATCATGTTAAACTTTTTTTTTCAGCTATCAAAAAAAAGTATTTTTTACAGTAGTCCTTCGTTTAGACTTTCTGGAAGCTTGAATAGTATTGTTTTTATTGAAATACTATAAACAACCTGTAATAGAATAGTCTGCCAAGTTGAGCTCAAGTATCTCAAATCCTATGAAAGATATCAAAAATATGTCTACTGAGAAAACATTTCTGATATTATGATAAACAATTAATCAGTTAACAACATCTTCATATCTTTGACAGGAACCGAGAAAAATTTGCTTAACATTGGTAGTTAGCTATGCCTTCCTATTGAGGGTTTTGCGGTAGTTTATCTGTCTTCATAGTTAATTTTTTCTTCAAAAAAGCTTTTAATTATTTTGTGAATGATCCTCAATATCACTTCACTCAACAATCTCAACGGAAAATTTCCAGGGTCCCAAGAAATCTCTCTACCCAAAAACTACATCAAACGGCCGCCAACACATTTCCGAGAAGCTGGAAAGGTACTTGGAACTAAATTCCGAAACCCAAATTCAATCATTTTTCAATTTCTTTCAGAAAAGCCCCTCTGGCAGAAGGAGAATCTTCAGTTGTTGCAAACTCTCCGCTCGTTGAGAATCTTCCAGTGACGTTCGAGAAATGGAGCAACAAGAGCCCTCGATTAAGTGTGAAACACTTCAGTGAAACCATCATTGAAGAAGGTCTCGATGCGAATGCAAATGCAATGTCTCCACGTAAGTAGCTGTAGTTTTGAAAAGGAGGAGAAGACTCAAAAGAGCATTCTTGAAAATCAGACAGAGAACCTCATTAGAGGAGACGGAAAAGAGAGACGGACGACGTCCAAATTCAATTACTTTTCTGCTCACAACAATAACAGAAAGAAAAAGCAAAAGAAGAAGAAGAAGGGCGTCAGATGACGGAGTAAAGAGAGACAAAGTTTACAGAATTGGAGCATCGCGCTATTCCTTCTTCTCACCAGCAAGACAACGCAGGACTCATTGACGATGACATTCTGTGAGCTACTCTTCTGTTCTTCAGTCTTTTACACTTCTAAAACTAGTCAACCGTAGAAGTATATTTTATAATGAGTGCAAGAGATACCCCTGAATGCCTCGAGGCATTCATATTATTCCATCAAGATTTTTCCTCTTTTCTTCCTTCCACTCAACCCCAAAAGAGTCTCAAATTTCTTCATTATCTCGATTTCAATCTTGACGAGACAGCACGCCTTCTGCTCCCCATCCAAAAGAGTCTATATAAGACGACGACCATTGTTTCTTTTTCTTTCCCATCCTTGACTTTCAATTCTTTCAGTGATCAACCAATGCTCGTAGGAGATACCTTCTCCCATTCATCATCCATCGACTGTATTTCCGCACATCAAAGAATGAACGAAAGCATCATTTCGATCGATCGTTCGATTGCTCCTAATGAATCGTAAGTTTTGAAAAAAAGTTTTACTTCTGGAATCCTTGCACCAAATGTTGTTCAACACTTTTATATAGCCCAAAAAGAGTTTAATGAAAATCGCATGACGCATACTTGTCTTCCTGCCGATTCCGGTCAGACACACTAGCTGAACTCGTTTCCAAATTGAAATTATGAGCAAAACAGCATATCAGATGATAGATCGGTTACTGATTTAATTGCTGGTCGATTCTTATTGGATGTTGTAGAGCTTGCCGAGCTCCATTATCTGGCATGTTGTTCTACCCACAATTTCGATTTTGGAATGAGTTTGTCAGCCTACCGTGCAGGTCCGGAATCGGCCCGTCGACAAGTATGGTATGACTGAAAAACAACTTTTATAACTTTCCTCAATATCCAATAATTTTGATGAAACCTGACAGAATCAATCTACTCAAATCAATGTTTACCAATTCACATTTTTTGTTTGAGGAGCATAATTTTTAAATTTTTAATTTTTAAACTATAGAGGGGTCTCAGTTTTCGCATTTGCTGTCAGCCCGAATTTCAAAAATTGAAGCTTTTTGCAAATGCCCACTATCGGATTATCAGTTTTGCAATCAGAATCCAGTCAGTGCCATATCCGACCCAGCATCCCGTATGGAGTTTTTCTGAGATCGGTAGGATACAGCAGCCTAGCGGCCACGGTAGTTTTTGGGTCGATGAACGTATTTCGGAAGAACTAACTGATGAGTCCACGGCAACCTACCCATTGCCTGAGTCACGGGCGGCTGCGGCCGCGATCAGAACACTTCCTGCTCATATGAGTTACCTGATTCTTTTTGCTCCAGTTTCTCAACCTAAGATACTCGCAGACACATCAACAAAATCATCTGCGCAAACACATTTCGGCTGTTTCTCTCTCTCTCTCTCTCTCTCTCTCTCTCTCTCTCTCTCTCTCTCTCTCTCTCTCTCTCGATTCTCCGTTTAGTTCCTCAGCTATTGTTACCCGATCGGCGTGTATTGCGGTCATAGGCATCAGGTAGAATCGAGAGAAAAAGGAGAACGAGGCGCCCCTTCCGAACATACACACTTTTCTCATATGTATTAAAAACGAACTTGCCTATCTCGCCTACACCTACAATCGTCCTCCATGATTGATTGCTTACTATCTCCTATTTTGTCCACATTTATCAGGCAAATCACATTTCAATTCAAACATTTTTTTGGTTTTACAGAAGGAGCAGCAATCAGCCCACCCAAAACAATGTGAACAGGTATGTTTAAGCTTGCAAATCGTACAAACTGCTGTTGCAACATTTTATTTGTTTAGGAACACATTCAACGAGACGAACCTAGATCGCCAAATCGATGCAGGCCGTTCTGAAGTTCAGGACATAAAAACTCAATTGCAGAAATTGAACAGATTAGTGAATGTAAGTCAAGGTTACTGTAGGAAAATACGAGTGGTAGGAATTTGAAGGAGGTAATGACCTAATTTATGAATGACGAATCGGGAAGGAAGGCTTTTTTTTGTTTTAGTAGTCACTTCCATTTGGAAGGGAAATGAGAATAGTAATCAAAACAAAATGGCGTATAGTCATCTGGACGGAAGTTTGCAACAGCATAAAATTAAAGTGTAGCCTTCGACTGGGCTCAAACTCGGAGTGCAAAAAAATAATTAATCAGTAAATTTGCCAAATTTCAAATTATTTGATCGACTTTGAGCTGAATTATCGCTAGTCAAATTTTCTTCATCTCAAAACCACAAGAAACATTATGTCGTTCATTTTTGGACAATCGTAACATTCCTGGACTTGAGGAACCGCTTTGAAAACTTTAGTAGCTTTGAATCGAACGTAAAATCATATTCTTATTTTCCTGCTTCCAATATGTCTATGTTTAAAGATATGCCCGTTTCTATCAGTTCGGATATTTGTGCGCCGCGCTGCCCAGAGCTCTTCACCATAATCTTTGGTTGCAAATCAAATTTCATAATTACATTTTTTGCCCAACCCTTCTCCTGATCATAAAAGTGACTACGAACTCCTGATCATAAAGTGAATAACTGTTTTTGATGATTAATAGAGCTTCTTATCAGAAAAAGAGTGATTCAAATTAAACAAACTGAAATATTTATGAAATGATTACATAAGATGACGACTGAATTTTCAAGTAATAACTAAATTGTTGCAGGAGATGGGAGTGAGTGGATGGGAAGAAGAGTTGACCAGACTCCGTTGTGAAAATGAGCAACTTCGGAGGGAACTTGCCGAACGAGATGCCACAATTGCTGCTCTCCAATCACAAACTGTATCTTCTTGAAGAAGAAAAAACTGTTAAATCTTAATAATATTTCATCCTATCATTTTCCTAATAATTCGTAGTTCAAAAACTCAATTAAAGGTGGGGGGTCATGAAAAAATAATTTTCTCGAAATTCTGTTTAAATATGCCCCTCGAGGAGTTGAACTTGTCGAGGCGAGTATTGAAGGTGCGGCGCCGCTACCGACTGAGCCATGCGGGCGAAACTGGAGCGGGCGCCTGATTGCATACATAAAGGCGAGGACGACCGCTGTACGCAGAGTGACATTAAGCGTTGTACACCGTTACGGTAGAATGCATACACTGGCCCCAAAAATCCCCTGTAAAATCTCCTGTCCCCCCACCTTTAATCTCCACAGCCGATCTCTTTTTGTTTTTCACATGTTTTTCATTTTCACATTCTTCTGGGTTTTTTCTTTGATCTGAAATTTTTCGATGACTCTCTTTTTGTCCCATCCTTGTCCCCAAACCGTTTTCTTCTAGAACCAATTTTTATTGTTCAACCGGTTAATAATGTAGTGAAATGAAGTTTCTGATTCATTCGTCGTTCTTATCAACACTAAAAGACCAGCCCGACATTGCACAATCGCCTTATCAACAGAATTCAACGCTTTTTAGTTTTTAAACTACTTTTTTCTCCTTTTCTCGTGCCTGCTTTTAAGTGTTACTTACATGAATAATCATATAAAAACCCCTCTCCTGCTTTAGTATGTACCTATTTTCAGAGATGCCTCGGGTTTTACTCCTTTTAGCTTTAGCCTTCGGGTATGCTTTATGCCACGTGTCACCTCCTATGGTCAATGGAAGACCCAGAGGAGGGCTGGTCGGTGGAGATCCAGATCCAGAAGGACCAACCACGGAGGATCAGTATATGGTTTATTCGAATATCACACAATACGTCGATCACTTTGCCAATAATACAAGTGCCACTTGGTTACAGGTGAATACGAAGTCTGGGGAAGTTTATTAGTCTTGTCCATTGGTGGTTAACCTTGTGGCTGAAATTTGGCCGAACAGCGAAAACAGCTACGAATTTTTGAGAAATGCATGCTCTTTTGATACCGTATCTCAAAAGTAATCCATTTTTGCATACTCCCTTTTTTGGGCACAAGGTTCATACCTGCCGGACAAGAATAATACCGCAAAATTCGTAGAACACTAAATTTTAGAACAAGCGAAAGCTTCAATAAAAAAAACTATCGTAAAATCAATTCGGTTTTTGTTTTTGATGATTTCGTAACCCAATTACTTTTAAAGTGTTCTCATAGTTTGAGTATTGGATAATCAAAAACCTTGCCGTCCTTGGATCCAATTACCCGAACCCCCCCCCCCCCCCACAGAAAAGTTTTTTGATCTCTAAATCAATCAAAGAAAACCATAAAATTTACGACTCACTGAATTCGTTTTCTCTAATCATATCTTCTTCCAGAGATACCAATACAATTCGAAATTCTACAACAAAACAGTCGGATATGTGTTCTTGATGCTTGGTGGAGAAGGAGCAATTGACCCACCTGGAGATAAATGGGTGCGTCACGAAGGAGAAACCATGATGGTATGGGCGAAGGAATTCGGAGCAGCTGCATTTCAAGTAGAGCATCGATTCTATGGATCAAAAGAATTCTCACCACTTGGAGATCAGACCACGGAGAGTCTGAAACTTTTGACAATCGATCAAGCACTTGCTGATATCAAAGAATTCATCAATCAGATGAATAAAATGTATTTCCCAAATGATAAACCGATTTGGATAACATTTGGAGGATCATATCCTGGATCTTTGTCTGCTTGGTTCAGAGAGACTTACCCGGAAATGACTGCTGGAGCTGTTTCCTCTTCTTCGGCTGTTCATGTATTTGTGGATTACTATGGATATGCAATTAATACTGAAAAGACATACCGAACTGTCAGTGCTCCTTGTGCCGAAGTCATCAGGACAGCGTTCACGGAAATACAAAAAAAAGCATACAATGGTTCAGATGCAAGAGCTCTTCTCAAAGGAACTTTCAAGTGAGAAGTTTTAATTGACAAGACTTTTCATCTTTTTTCCAGCTTATGCGACGATTTTGACGAGAACAATCTATCGAAATCTGTTCAATTCTTCTTCCAAAACATCTATGGATACTTCCAAGGAATCAATCAATACACTGGAGATAATAGAGTAACATAAATGAGTTGAAACTCAAAACAATATGATATCCAAATTCAGAACACTGCAACTCGAAATGGTTTAGGAGTTCCAGGTGCCTGTGCTATTCTCAACAATGCTACAATCGGAGAAGAAGTTGACAGAGTCGTTGCAGTGGTATGTTTACGAACCCCTCACTAAATATTTTCCAATTTTCCCATTCAGTTGAATTGGTATGATTCATTTTCCGGACCATTAACTTGTAGACCTAACAGCTATGATGGATTCGTTAAACAGTATTCGAATACAACCATGCCCGATGATGATACAAGTAGGGATTCAAGGCGCAGATCACTTTCTACTGTTATTGTATTTCAGTTAGCACCCGTAGCTGGATTTGGCAGACTTGCACCGAGCTTGGATACTACCAGACCACTGATGGAGGTAACAAAGGAATCTTCGGATCTATTGTCCCATTGGAGTACGTTTTCAAAATGTTTGCAACATTGTAATCGCTCTCTTTTTCAGTTTCTTCGCTGACCAATGTATAGATCTTTTCGGTCCCGAATACACACTTGATAACACTTTCAAATGGATTGATCAAGTGCGCACAAAATACGGAGGAGCTGATGCATATCGAGGAACCAATGTCTGTTTCCCGAACGGATCTTTCGATCCATGGCAGGATTTGGGTCACAAGATGAATGTCACAAACAACAATGTGGATTCTTGGCTGATCGATGGAACTGCTCATTGTGCTGATATGTATCCGGCTAGAGATTCGGATAAGCAATCATTGAAGGATGCAAGGCAACGAATTCACGATCATTTGGCAAGATGGCTTTCTGATGCTCAGGCTATCAGACAACATTCTTCTGGTAAGGATAACATTGGAGTTGACGATAATACTCTGGTCTAATATCAATGCGGAATTCGAGGGTGGGCGGGGCTTAAATCTGCAAAATCCTCAAAACAGCGCATTCCGAGGAGCGTTTATTTCTGTAATTATTTTTGGGCATAGTTCGATTTTTCGAAGGATTTCATCTATTTTTTCCTGTGCATTTTTCTTTTCGGTTAGTGTAGATATACTTATTTTGGTTTATTTTTCTAGTAATTTCGGTTAATTCTTGTCGTTTAATAACTATTCCAGTTCAGTAGAAAGCCGAGCTCCGTCCACCCTCAAATTTTTGGCCTCAACGCGCATTTGAAATTTCACAAAAATAATAACAACAATTGGCTATAGTCGGTTATTTTGGTCCTTAGAATTTTTTATCATCTAAGGACCAAATAAAAATCTAATGACCAAAAATAATTCTAAAGACTAAAAAAATGTTTTAAGGACCAAAATAACCGACTGGAGCCCAAGGATCTTAGAGCCAGTTTGTGTAAACATTACAGTACAAAACAGTGAACATTCCAAAATAAATTTTATTGAATTTTCAAATTGCAGGTTCCACCAACTTCTCGATGTTTACAATCATTCTTCTCGTCATTGCCAAGATCTTGTGTTAAATTTCAATTCTATAATATCTGAAAAATGACTTTAATGAACAAAAATAAATGGTTATTACTGTGAAATGACATACACACACTCAAATACTCCCTCCTCACACAAAATGACGTCTTTTTCGCACTTTTCGCCCCTTTCAAGAACACACCCAAATTGCCCCGTTTTCGAATCGCTAATAAGATTGTGCTGAAAGTGGAGAGGGAGGTGCCTAATAAAATGAGTTGGATAGGTGATAAAAATATCGTGTCGATGCGAGAGAGCCCTGGCAAATATTCGCCGACGACGCTTATCAATCCAATTTTTTCAGTTGACTCGTCGTCTCTTTTCGGCATGAAGTTTGCCATCCTTCTCGCTGGTACGTTGTTGAATTTTCGAAATTGGATTTTTTTCTAATTGGATTGTGTCCTTTCAGCTCTTTGCGGTGTAGCCGTTGCTCAGTTCGGAACTGATAACTGTAATCAGGCTCAGTTCTTGGCATGCAACAGTAAACTTGGAGATTTCTGGAGAACTGAGTAAGTGCTTTGAATGCTAAGAACAAATATGCTATTAGAAATATAAGATTTTGAAAGCACATGATGTAATGGTTCCCACCGATAGTGTCAAGATTTAAAATGGCAAACTGCCGACACATGCAAACAATGATGATTATTTATCAGAGAAGCTCCGGCAGTTTTAGAGGATTAACTTTATTGATTCAACTGCTACTGATTCATTTTCAATTAGCTCAACTATTCCAGCACTACTACCGCCTGGAAGGATCTGGCCACTTTGGACAGAATCACCCAGTCCCTTATCGTCTCCCCATATACCATTGATTCCTGGATTAATGTTTGCAAGTGAGTCACAATCTTTATCATCATCTAATTGTGACTTTTAGTGGATTCTCTGCTTTCTACGGATGCCTCGGACAGGCTCAAATCCGAAACTGTCTCGGAACCGTCGGACTTGTTGGATCTGGCCTTGATCTCAACACTGCCTACGCTTACCAAGGATTCATTGCTGATTGGGACTTCAAGTGTGGAGTTGGATTCTGGAGTAAGATTCGGAATATAATGATTGAGATCATACCTTTTTCACTTTAGCCATGTACGAGCGTAAGGTTCTGACAACCTGTGTTGAGAGCACCTATGTGAACTATCAAAAAGAGACTGCTGCTGCTCTCACTTCCTACCAAACCGCTATTACTCAAGATCCAGCTAACGCTTGCAAGTACGCTCAAACTCTAATGAACGCTTGGCAGAACACTTACATGAAGGGACCATGCCGTACTGTCAACCCAGTAAGTATGAAGGAATAAGGAAATTTAGCACTGAATACATGTTCAGGCTCAAGCTGGATGGATCGGATGCCAGTCTGCTCGTGAATACTCAAATGCTCAGTTCAGACACTGCAAGCATACTACCACGTGTGCATGTAAGTATACAAACATAAAAACTTAGGTTATTATCTGTTTTAGCTCCATCGTCGGTTGATGCTGTTACCAGAGTCAACGCTGAAACTGGAAAGACTGAGTATGAGACTCGTAAGTTTTTTATAAGATTTTGCTATTTGTTAACTGAAAAATATGTAAAATTGAATTTCGAACATTTTGGCAGTTGAAACATTTTCTCTAGATCTCACGGTTTCTGAGATATGCGCTTTTGAAGCCGCGCGATATTAAAGAAGAACGTTTAAAGGCGCATATCTCAAAGAAGCAAGGAAAAAGTTGTAAACTGCGATATAACACTCAAATACTCTCCAACGAAGAAATTTTCAGTTCCATTCTACGAAATTGTTAATGATAAGGCTGTCATCTCCCAAGCCGCTTCATGGATTTCCGAGTAAGATTTCTTCGTCATTTATTTCAATCTTTGTGATTCTCTTTGTGATTTTTTTCTGTTTTATTGAGAAAATACATTTTTTGATAAAAACCAATAACTATTTATTGCACTTAACGTTTCGAAAAGAAAGCACCAATGGAAGAGAGAAAGAGAAAAAGCAAATTTTCCAAAATTTAACAGAATATTAAGCTTTACGACGACCAGAACCACTGTCGAAAAAGACACCTCCATCAATTGCACAATATCTGAAAGTGATAAATTTTATCAACTAAAACAATTTTTTTAAATACTCACTTTGGACAGATTCCTTCCTCTCCTGGTCTTCCTTGAATTCCTGGTTCTCCCAAGTCTCCATCGTTTCCATTCTCCCCATCAATTCCATCTCTTCCTGGTGGTCCTGGTGGTCCAACTTGTCCCGGTTTTCCATCTCTTCCATCGTTTCCTGGTTGTCCAGCCTCTCCTGCTTCTCCTTCCTCTCCATCATCTCCTGGTGGCCCAACATCAGAAGTGTCAATGATTCCTGGTTCTCCATCACTTCCATCCTCTCCTTTAGGTCCTGGAATCCCATCGATTCCAGTCTTTCCAGGTCTTCCAGGTCGTCCATCCAATCCATCGATTCCTCGTCTTCCTTTCAATCCAGGCAATCCATTGTTTCCTGGAGGTCCACGTGGCCCTGGTTCTCCTGGTTCTCCAGCTGGACAATCGCATGGATTTGGGTGCGCTGGATCACAAGGTCCTCGTGGTGGCTCTCCTGGGTTTCCTGGTTTTCCAGGGGCTCCTGGAGCACCGTGACGTCCATGTCGCCCAGGAGGTCCAGCTGGTCCTGGAGATCCAGGTAGACAACATCCATCGCAAGTTCCTTCAACTGTGTCATCTGGAGAATATCATAAATGATTTTAATGTCAGAGGAAAAGAACAAACCTTCATCAAAACGTCTTCTTGGTTTGGTTCCTCTAATTGATCTAGTGTGGTTTGAGTTGGCAATCATGGTGGAAAGCTCATCGACACTAGTATGGATTGTTCTCACAACATCGTTACATTCCTGAAATTAAATTTTTTGTCGCATCGAGTTCTGAAAAATAGCAGATTCCTTGTCAGATACAAACATACCACAAACTGTCTCTCAAGAGAATATCTCAATTGATGAACGTATCGATAAGCCAATGGAAGAGTAACCATTGCTCCAGCTAACAGAACGAAAGCCACGCTGGCAACGGAGAAGGCAATGAAACGTTGTATCCGTAAATGAGAAGAATATTGACTGCAAGAAGTCATCTCCGTTCTCTGTTCCATTTTCCTCTTCCCGCTTGTCCACTTTATATTGAGAACGGTCACCTCAAAAAAGTGCGAAAATCCGGCAGATTTCAATCTATCGTACCCAATTTTATTGTTTCGTGTTTCGGTGTGTGTCCGTTAATATTGGCTGGATTTGTATCAGCTAAAAAAATATAACGACTTTATTATTGCAAATGAATAGATTTGGGTGAAGAAGAAGACGTTTAAAAATAAACGCTTGGAATGGGTTCGTAAAGGAGTGCGAAGGAAGGTCCAAAAATACAGTATTCAGATGGTTTCGAAAAACAGTTTGAATAGGTTTCTTTTGGGGACGGGATGAGACAAATGAGTCGATATGACGACATGTATGTTGACTGAACAAAAAAAGTGGTTAGAGATTTCATGAAGTTGCATGACGGGCGGTGACAAGTTCTGACTAGAAAAAAAAGAATTGCGAGAAGTGACAAATATGAGTAAATGGTCATGATGGTGACATGAGGATGAACAAAATTAGATCATAGCAAGGTAGCTGAGTGGGCAGGAGGCAAGGGCATTGTGCTCCGTTCGGACAGTCACTTTTCCTTCCACCAGGCTATCTGGTTGAACGAAGACGATCTGCAAAGATCAAGTATTAGTTTTCGGAAGTTCACATCTTCAATTTTCTTGAGTTTTTGAAATTTCAACTGATTTTTAAATTTATTCAATCGTTATGATTTTTTCTTGAAGCCTTCATTTTACAAAAATGTATGTAGATTCGCATTTGAAGAGTTCAAAAATTCAAAAAAATCCAAAAATGAAACAAACTGCATATAAAAAGTTTAGTGTTATCCGGTGACTGGCGGTCGAGTGTGAGTTTTCTAGTCCCCGAAATTTTTGTATTCGAATTTTCGGATTCTTACGGATTCGTTCCTTTTCAAAATTCCAACAAATATTTTTGCAGACATATCAAAAAAATATTTAATTTAGGAAAAACCGGTTCGAAGTTTTTAAAAAAGCCGGGAAAATTCGGATACCAAAAGCTTCGCGCGCTGACCGGAGACTAGAAAACTCTTACTCGGCCACCAGCCACCGGATACCACTTTGCTTTTTCGATGTGGTTTTTTAAAGGTTTTTTTTGAATTTTTTTCTTTATTTTTATACATACTTTTCTGTAAAAAATTAACTGAAAAAGTCTCATGGTTCTCAAAAAATTCTTCTGATTGTGTTGATTCATAAAGTGATCTTTAGAACGAAAATCAGACTGAATTTGACTTCTAAACTACATTTTTATCAGGAAGTCATCCTGGCACCGACTCCCTCTCTGATTCGTAGTTGACGTAGGTCGCACACAAAATCCTTAACTTGTTTTTCGAGCCACACTCGGTCATGATCTACATCAAAATCTTAAAAGAACCTTAGGAAATCTCAAACGAATGTTTTCTTATTCATTTGGCGAAAGGATGACCCACTGTAATCCCATAATCCAAAGGTATCAAGATTAGTTGTGGGCGAAAAAGGCAATGAAAAAAGGATAAACACTTGATTATCATAGAATATCAAAGCTCTTTTTTATGAATGACGCCAATCTCCCTATCTATTTCTCTCCATTTTTTCTATTTTCTTCACTCTCACCTGATCCCTGTACATCCGCAATTTTTGCTCAGCTACGAATACATTTTGCTGAATTCGCATCGCTTGCTCACCAGCCATAATTTGAGCCACGCATGTGGCCGGGAACGTGATCATGTGCTCAGTTCTGAAAAACATTGAAATTTGACTATAATCCCAATCGGAAGTATACCTATCACTGAGACGGAAACCATGAAGCCAGTCCGGATCTCCATTGTCTACCACGTGGACTTTCTCTCCGAGAACCAATGGTGATCCGTTGGATGGTGTGTATTCATGGATCACAATATGGCCACCAGCATGCACTGAAAATAAGAAAATAGATAAACAAATTGAAGTGATTCTTAATGCACTTACAAGCTGATGAGCTGCTTCGTCTGCTCTTCACAATTGGAGAGCACGATCTCTCGACATCTGAAAAATCGGACGATCCGTTGATTCCTGGCTTTCGATAGTCACGTGGAGCGAGTTTTGATCCTGAAACTATTTCCCACTAGGTACAAAGTACTGAAGTGATGTTGCTCACTCATTGGGCTCCGTGTGCTCTGGTTGATTCGTGGAGGCATGTCTTGACAATCCAAAGACAATGATTTCATTTGTTGGGTCAGCTTTGGCGCTCGTCGACGACCGACGGACCGACCTGAAAAATTTCAGAAATAAAATGAGAGAAAAACGTTGGAGAAAAAGGAGTGAAATTGAATAACAACCACAGTGAATCATTGACTTCTCAATCCCCCATAACTCAATCAGTTTGTGATGGAATTATCACCTGTGTTGCAGGTGTTTTATCGAAAAATTAAATGCCAATAAAAAAAACTTACACATTCTAAGAGATCTTCTGGCCGAAAGCATAGCTAATAATTTGCGGACTGCGAGAACTTGGATTGCAGTTTTATGCATCTTCCTCTTTTCTTTGGGGCTGATATCCGGCAGAAGGAGATGAGCCTTTGGAGAAGAAGAAGAAGAAGAAGAAGAAGAACGGATTACGGGGTGCTAGATGAGGAGAAGGAGTGTGAATAGAAGACGTGCGGGGCAAAAGAGAGAAGACCACGCCTCTCTGATAGGGCTTGAAGATGATAGAGATTGAGAGCTCAAAGTTTTTTTGATAACGAAACCAAAAGAAATCGCTAATCCGTTTAGAGATTCTGCGAATTTCTCATTAACGACGAGGGCAAATTGACATTTTGCTGTAATGACTGAATGATGTTTCTAAAGTTTGCTGAGCACAGAAACATATAGCTTCAGAACGAAGTTGCAAAATTTTTCTATAAAATCTAAAATATCCTCTATCCAGGTGTGGGAAACGTTAATCAGGAATATGATATCATTTAGTTTCATTCGATTACCAGACCGAAAGTCACAATCTACCTTTAATGGTTTTGAATGAAGTCTCAGCAACATTTTAGCACGCAAGAGCACAGAAGGGGACCCCGTTTAGATTGTCCCCTGAGCCCCTAGCTCATAGGTGGCATGCCCCGAAAGCTTGCCGAGGTCTACAACCCCCAAAATCAGTTTGAGAAACAGTCTCACCCTCTGTAGCCATAGAAGATGTTAGAATGTTCAAAAACTAGTAAACTCTGAATATGAACTGCAGTTCTTGAAAAACCCAACTAACGCACAAAAGAAAAGAATGGCGAGGAATGAATGATATCAACCCGATTTTTCCGATTATCGGACCACTTATGTGGGTGGTTCTATCTGTCAAACAATGTTAAGAAGAGATCTTAATATTCGAATTCCGGCAATTACTTTTTTGGGGAATCCCACGCGGAAGGGACTACGGTATTCGAAAAGCTTAAAAGAACATTTTTGCAAAAACAAGTTTCGGAAAACTTCAAAAAAAAAAAGAAAAATCGCAAAAAGGCTCTTTCGTCTTATTCACATAGTAAGAGAGACAATAACGTTTCAGAATTAATGACCAGGAAATCCACTTGATTCTTCATCTGAAACGCCCTCTTCACCTACCTACCTTGAAGTTCTTTGTACAAAAAATAAGTGGAGATGCACATAGCGAAGAAGAAGAATGAATCACGAAAGAAGAATAAGAAGTGAGGGTGGGGAAGAGAGAAAAGGTGTGGATGGTTGGGCTCCCTTGGCAACACTAACCCTACATAGGGTCCTTGGTAAGAGGTGGAAAACCAAACATTTCGAAATTCTCGCTGTTTGAACTTGATCTTTTCTTTTTTTGACAGGTCTTTGCGAGTCCGCGCAGAGCATGAAAACGAGGGTGGATAGTGTGGACAATGAGTCAGAGAAAAATTACCACCTGGATTCTATTATTGATAAGGGCATGGGAAACTGAAAAGGAACATTTTGAGTACGAACTATGTTCCTTGAGTGGATATCAAAATCTGATTTCAAGTTTGCAGAGAAACTACCTCAAAAACTGTGATAGAAGGGTCCAAACTTTGAGTCAATTTTTCTTGATTCTTGTCAAAGATTCAAAAAATTGGTCAACTGATAAAATGTTGGTGATATTATGATAAGCATTTTGTCCGTTGATCACTTTTTTATATCATTTACGGGAACCGAGAAATATGGGCTCAAAATTAACAGTTATGGTGGCTTTCTATTAGAGTTGTTACGGTATTAACGGTTTTATACTATTAGAAAACCAGGAAAAGTTTTCACTGTTTTCAGATTGCTAATTTTCTTTTCTCAAAATCATTTTTTGTTTTCCTGAAAAAATGTTTTGATCTGGTTTTTTTTCGGCAAAGATTTTTTAATGATAAAAAATGGGGAAAAGTTTTTGTTTTTGTTTTTCATTTCATCAAAAGCTACAGGAGCGCCCACGGAAGAGAATATTATTCGGCTTTTGTGGACCAATTATCTTATGAAATCTGGCTAGTAGTAAGATTTGGAAGAATCATAATAGTTATGAAATCTTATACTTTTTGAAAATTTCAAACTTCTTTTCTAATTGCTTATTTCAAAACTTTCGAACTTTGGAAATATTGAGAGCATATTCTTCCCATTCATGAAGAGTATTCTCATGAATCTGTAGTCTATGCTACGTGAGGAACAAGCATTTTCGGAGGAACAGAACGCCGACTGGCACCCTATGAGTAAGGGTGCTTTTTTCCTAGTCGAACAATTTTTGTAGGCATATATCGGCATATTGTGCCACGCCAGAGAGTGAGCAAGCTAGATAAATCGGGAGTTCCTAAATGAACAACTGTCAAACACCCACGACTTTTAAATGGACCTCACAAATGGATGCGCCCATATCTGAGCGAACCCATGAGGAAGGTTCTTCATTTCATCAACATGGGCTCTCTGCAAAATGGTTTCCAAAAAAGAACAATTCTCGGTGAAGAAATCGGAGGAAGAAGAAAAAAGACGCCCTCGCGAGTCTAAGTGCTTCCTTTTCCGTGTTCACTTTTTATTGGTCCGAAAGTAGAAGAAGAAGAAGAAGAAGAAGAAGAGGGGTTTTAGGTGAATAAAAGTGAATGGAACGGAAAAAGTCGGCTGGGTAATCGAGATATTGAGAGAAAAATGAAAAGTTTTCTAGCGTTTTCCGGTGCTGCTGCCCGAAATTCGATTTATCATATTTATAAAAACGCAGGTGAAGAGGAAAAATGGAAAGGCAGAAACTAACCGGCGTTGTCAAGTTGTGGAGTCGAGCCAAGCAGTGGGTTAGCCTTCGAGGATCCCATCTCGACGTAACCAGAATCCTGTAAACAATACATTTTATAATTAATTCCCTGAAGAGTAGGAACAGGAATACTATAGAGACCCCGTCTGTAGACATAAATATTTACCTGAAGTGATACTTGCGACAGGTTTCGTGGGCTGGGAGATGCCGATTCAAAATTGGTGGATCCACGACGAGAGTATCTTCCAGTGGCTTGTTTCAAAGCCAAGTACACTGGGTCTACAATCGCGGATTCTGGAAATTTCTTGGTTATTGAAAAAAGGATTTCATGATTTTTGGAGTTTTTTTTTGGGTTTCTTTGGGTTTCTTCAAAGTATGAAACCAGTGAAATCACATTGATCTAGAACATTGAACTAGAACAAGCACATAAAATTGAACGAAGATGTAAGACTTCTAGTTCTTTGAGCCCTGGAACTTGAATTTCGAAATTCCAAAAATTTAGTTTCACCATGCAGACATCCTTACTAAATCTTCTTGGTGGTCTTCCGGTAATCACTACTCTTTCTTCTGTTCTTCGCTTCTTCTGATTTCCGATTCCAACTGATTTAATCATGATAAACTAGGAAACAATATGATAATCTTCAACTGATAAAAGGAAGAAAAAAGAAAATGTCAAAGTAATGTATGGAAGAAATTATTCTAATCGGTAGATATTGTAGAAAGGGCAGATTAGGCAAAGCGACGCTTTCGTTAAGGATATGTTATTGTTAACTGAAGACAGATGAAAATGGAAAACAAATAGTGATATTTAGAAGTGGATGTACTCATTCTGATAACTGAAAAAAATGGGAAAAAATAGAGTTGGATCTAATGGGAAAATATTTCCAGGTACATTCAGAAACAATAAACTTTCTTTGAATTACAATGTACTCCAAGTTTAAGAATTCTTGGAAATAAAACGCATTGTTTTCAGAATTCAAAAGAGATATTTCGGTTGTGGTACGATAATCTAAAAGGATTCAAAATAATCCGAACAATTCAAAAAAAAAGTTAATTACCAGACCTCTAAGGTATAAGTTATTTTGTGAATATATTCAGATTCAGGAATATTCTAATCTTTGTGCTATCATTTTTCTATTTCTGGCAGGATCTTTTTTCCTTCATCTACATTCAACTCATCTCTTCTTTCCTCATTTATTGACGCCACACTAGAAAACATCTGTGTATTTTTTTGTCAATGCGGAAAAATCTTTCCAATTTTCTACTACTCTCTTGACTACGAATAATTTTTTTCTTTTTTTTTTGAATTTTCGGATTTCAGAATGTGTTCTATCAGAAAAATGCAAATTTGAAAACTCTAAAGATGGTTATCCTGGAAATTATCCATTCGGCTGTATCTCGGTCTCGAAATGGCCGGTTTCGAAATTACTTGTTTCGAAGTGACGCGGAGGCGAAAAAAAGAAAGTGCTTCTAAAAAGTAAAGTTTGAATTAATTGATTTTCAGGGGCAGGTGAAACAATTCATGACATCATTATTCTATGTAAAACTGTTTTATTGCTGAGCTCTGGTCCTTTGAATAAATTTAGAATTTAAAAAAAATAACCTTTTTCCAATAATGCTTTTTTTTTAAACTTCCCACCCTCGAAAATGTACTTGAAAGTAAATAGGTGGTTGCGTACAGTTCCTCCCGATCTCATCTATTTTTTGCATTTTTACCGGAATGAAAACTGTACTTTTTTTTCTCCTGGATTCTTTCCTAGAAAATGCCAAAAAACTTGTGGAAGGAACTATTTATGGATCGCTTAATCCAAAATAAACAATGTTTAAAAATAGATTTTTGAGGCTTTTTAAAAAATCAAAGATATCCGATGTCGGAAATGAGAAAACTACAAAGGATTATGGAACAAAAACTGTTCTAAGTAAAAAAAAACAAGCAACATCTTTTTTGTAGGATTTGACAAATATTCTTTTTAAAAGTTAACATTTCCAGTGCCTAGATTAGATTCTCAACGTTATTTTATTTTCAAAACCAACTTTTCAGATGTTTTGTTATCACGATTGAATTTCTAGATTAATGGGTAATGTAAAGATATCCGTTATGAATGATTTTCGGAATTCAAACTGGCTGAATGTGAAGATGAAAAAATATGTAAAATATGGGTAAATACTCGTGATATAAATCTTTTCGTAACTCAAAAAAAAAATCTGATATCTGCTGCTCCTTTCATATATTTTCCATCTTCTGTATTTTGTATCTTCCTTTGCTTTTGTATCTTCCTTTGATGAAAACCCCCTCCAATAGAACACGAAAAATATTTTCCATTATATTTTCCTTCTCCTCACCCCCATTTCCTTCTCCATTTCCGTCCGAAATCGTACTGTACTTCCTTCCAGAAGCGGTTAGTCATTTTTTTTTGGAGTCACGTGCCCTCCCTCTCTTCTTGCATGCCAGCTAATGATTATGCGCACACTGGCGCCTGAGAGCTGAAGGACCCAGTTAATTATTCTTCTTATTCGATTGGCCGCTTAGAGAGAAAACGAGAAAGGAAGAAAAAGAGTGAATCGAGGAAACAATTTTTGCCTTCCAGTTGAGACTCACAAACATTGGGTTTTTTTTGAGCAGAAAAGGAAGAGAGGAAAGGACGAAAGATCGAATTACATGGGAACCCACCGAGAACCACCTTATCAATAGAAAGAAGAAGGAGATTTATTCTGAAGAAGGCATAAAGAACCCCTGAAGGCATCCAGAACATCACTGATCGACTGGAAAATGAACATAATCAGATAGACAAAATGACGACTTTTGAGGACGAAAATGAGACATATATGGGATATATAAAATAAGATGTTGTTTTTCTTGTTTTCTACTCCTTTCCTTCGTTTTTTCATTCATTTCCTGTTTTCCAGTGATGTGTTCATTTGGAAAACGAACGGCCTACTCACAGGGTTCGATCTGCTGTGGTATGCTGTTGTGCTCTAATGAGAAGGTGCCACGGCAAAGTTTTAGGCCCGTGAAAAATTAATTTTTATGTTTACCTTTGAGGTGTCCAATCAACTAAAAATTGCGAGAAATTTCAATTTTTAACAACCTAAAACTTCGCCACGCCACTTTTTCAAAAGAGCGCAACAGCATACCACAGAAGTTCGAACCCTATGCGGACTCTTCCATTATAATGTTCCAATTTTTTAAGTTTCCTTTCCCCCCGTAATAAAAGAATACTATCAAGAATCAAGTTGTCCACACCCGCGAAGAAAAATGCATTCTTGCACCCTTTGCTCACACATCCAATTTTCTTTTCACTCTTCGATTTTCCAGATCAGTGAATTCAGAATAGAGACTATGCAAAAACAGATGAATTGCACTTTTTTGCATTCTCGTACATCTGAATTGGGAACGGAAAAAAGCGAGAAAAGAAAAGAAAAATGTATACAACTCAAAATGCTGAAAGCCTAAAAAAGGCAACACAACTTTTGATGTTGATGTTTTCTGTCCCCTAAAAATTTTGAAATGTGCTGCACATTTCAAGTGGATCTGTTTCGACAACGAGTTCATGAAAACATGGTGACATTCAGTTGACGAGTCCATTTCAAAATTTGTACGGGGGAAGCAGGTCAAATCCTATATTTATAAAAAATTTTAAAAATAAGACGGAGAGATGATCTAGAAAGAAGGATGACTTGTAGAAGATTTTCAGAAGATTTAAATGTTGTTATAGAGAAGAATGAAAAGCTGAGAGAGTCAGGTGTGACCTATATTATCTTATATTCATAAAAAAATAGGTCTGTAACATAAGCGCCCCATATAGCTATAGCTTTCAACTTTTAATCAATTTATCTTGATTCCTGTCAAATATTTGAGACATATGTCAACTGATAAATTGCTTATCATGTTATCACAGACATTTTATCAGTTGACACACGTTTGATGTCTTGAATAGGAGCCGAGAGAAATTAGCTCAAACTTTACAGTATGGGGACCCTTGTATTACAGGTTTTACGGGTTGTTAAACGAATCTCACATGTTTCAGACTTTTCAGAAACCCACTTTTTGTGTTCAAAAATAACTTCCGGTTTTCAAAAAAAAAACTTCAAAATTGAAAAGGGTTGACTCACCACAACTTGTTCTGCCAACAGACTGCTCTCGGATTTCGGTAGTTCTCTGTAACCTCATCAAATCTGGATTAGTACATCTCTTCAGAAGTTTTCGCGCGATTCCCCCACTGCTTTTATTAGGTGTTGGCAACATTCTCCTCATATAGAGTGGACTGGAATGTTGAGAAGTTGGAAGTATTTGTCCTGATTGATATTGATACGGATGTGAATAATATCCACCAGAACTTCCATAAGAAATTGGTGGAGAATAATAGTTATGTGGACGATAGATAGCAGAATGAATATCTGGTTGAGAGAATCGAGCGTGTGGGTTATGGTAGGATTCTGGATGAATCTCACGAGGAGGAACTTCTCGATTTCCCATCAGGGAACCCATTGAATGATTATGACGAAGAGTATGTTGCATTGACGGAAGTTGCCTTCTTTCGTAGTGTGGACGAGATGCAAACGGATGACCATTCATAACGCCAGGCGTCGTCGGATTCGCCGGTGTAGCCATGGGCGTTTGGGGAAGACTGAGACGACGTCCACGGCGCGAGCACATCGTGAGTGAAGGGGTGTGCTCCCGGAGCTGGGGTGTGGCTTCGTGGCCGCCAGGCAGCCGCGGCTAAGAATAAGAAGACGAAGACGTGTACGAGTTCTTTTTGTTTCAAGAGAGAGGGAGAGAGAGGATTGTTGATGAAACACTGCAAAAGTAAAAAATGGAGACTTTCTTCTTTCCCACGGTGACTATTGGCGGTATAATTCAACAGAACTCTCACCACCCATCTCATCTTCATATCTTCTCGTCTTCGTCTTTTAGTATATCGCCTTCTTCTTCTTCTTATTCTTGTTTTTTCCCGCTGAGCTTCTTCGTCAACAACAAGATGCTACAATTTCATTAAAGATAAAGGGCAATTCATCTAATAATAGAGAGAGGACAACTGGGTCACCAAACGTTTTCTATGTAAATTCATCATTCAGAATTCTCGCACTTCCAAATTCACACTCCCACTCCCTTCCAACCACCAGAAAATTAGTTTTCGGGTACCTGCCAATCAAAATCTCGTTGAATTTGCACCAACTCAAATCTACTAATTCTTCTTCCAACTCGTGAGCATTTTTCTCTTATTTTTTCGCACCGTTTTAAAGAATAACAAAACCCGAATTTCTCACTTTCGTCACCCTATCTGAACAATGAAAAGAAATTAATCTTCCATGGACAAAAGAAGAAGAAGAAGACGAAGGAAATGAATATCTTCAGGATTAACCATGACATATCTTGTTTTTCCACAGACTATTCCAGAATGGATGCTCTTAAAAATGGAGTCTAGTGACTTTTTGACGACCAAAATTTTATTGTTGGTCGTTTGTAAAATTGATGGTTTCGAAAAAAAAATGTTGTCTGCTGAAATGTGTGGTCTACAAGAGAGCAGGAAAAGTGCTAACGATGGTTGATTATGTTTTTTCGGCTCGGAAACTTTTGGATTCCGAATTCCTGTTTCCGAGAAATGTATTTTATTCCCGATTTTCATAAAATGCCTTGATCTGCAAGACTCCTCTGCCACGAAAAGTTGCTTTCAAACTTCAGCTGCATATGATGCAAAAATGAAGCTTCATATTTGTTTTTTTTTTAAATTTTCTACACATTTGAGATGTTCCGAATTCCGGATCCCGAGAAAATGTATTCCGAGTACTTTTGCAAAAAGTCATTCCGGACATCTCTGCTGGGAAGCACAAAAATAAAATCTTCCAGAATGGTGAATCACATTAATTATGCTAAAATAGTCATTATACATTCATCAACTGGAAAAAAAGTCTGTGGACTTTGCACACTCCATTCGGTGGAAACTAGAATCTTTATTCGAAAAAATTCCCTGACATACAAGATTAATTTCATATTGACCTGCTTTTGTTGACCTGAATCCGACCTGGTTTATGGCTGTCTGACTAGGATTATATCCATTATGAACGTCTAGATACCACCTTTAACATTTCCTGATTGTGAGATCTATGATCTTTTTTCGCGCATCTACAGTATCCCCCGCTACTTACTTTATGTGACATAACTGGAGTTTTGAATCTCTGAACTCCTTGAATAAATCTCATCGCGGAATGCCATTTCCGTCTGGCTGATCGTGAAGTTGCCTGCTCGATTGGAGACGACTCAATTGAAGACGTTGTGCTCATTGTGCCGTAAGATGAGGTTGAAGATTCTGAAAAATCAAAAAGATACAAGGTCAAAAATACAAGAGCGATGTCTCCAGGCAACAGGAGGTTTTGAAGAAAGACACTGACACTCTCGGGGACACTTGAGACGAAATGAGTTGACACTTGTAAACTGACTGATGAGAATGGCACAAAAAAAGCGGAAAGAGTTCTTCCTAGAAACAAAAAACAAAGCTTTGAAATGAGGAAAGACCAGGGATTCACATCAAAACGGAATGTTTTTTACTTTGTACGGAAAATACCGTAAAAATTCTAAAAGGAAGACACTGGCACTTTGAGCTTGATTATCTCAATTTCCGTGTGAGATATCGAAAAATTGTCAACTGATAAAATGTTTGTCATAATATCTCCAAAATTTTATTAGTAGACATATTTTTGATATCTCTTATAGTAATCGAGATAATTGAGCTCATAGTGCAAGTATATGGCGTTATTATGAACTTGAAAAGTGCTTCAAATAAAATTTTCAAAAAATGTCTTTAATGTTTTCCAAAGAAAGCTGATAGTATTTTTATGGAAAAGGAGACAGGAAAGATGAAGAGTATATTGAATGGATACCCCTAATCTGGAATAAACAAGATATATACCAAATGAGGTAAATTTTCAGACCAAACGAACAAGTACATAGTACTTCTTACCGTATTTCATCATTTTCTAGGTTAACCCGTTTTCAACCTAATCATAACCTTGGGACAAATTATCTCGGTTTCTGCCAAAGGTATAAGAAAGCTGTCAACTGATAAATTGTTCATCATAATAACACATTATATTTTTTTATATCTTGCATAGGAGTCCAGATAAATTAGCTCAAACTTGACAGAGATTGGGCCTCGTATTACAGGTTTCACGGTATATGTAATAGACACGGTCTCCCAGCGTGAAAATTTTTGATTAAAAAACTTGAGAAAAAATGTCTCTGCGTCTCTTCATCTCTCACGCTACTTTTTCTCAGTGCTATTTTGCAAAATTTAATTGGAAAACTGGATGAATTGTTAAGAACGTCTCAAAAACATTCAAACATGAGTATTTTCAGAAACTTTTTTACGGATGATAGAAATCATATCCGAGATTGTGTGTAATACGTTTCAACATTCATCTCAAACTATCAAGCAAGATATGGAGCTTTGAAAAACTTTTTCGGGTTTTTCAATTTTTCCAAAAATTTTCACGCTGAGAGACCGTGAAAAGACGGTACATTTTTTAACATAGGACTACGAGGCTAGGAAACTGTATCCATTTTAAGAGAGTAAGGAAGAGTGATTCCTCTCACTTCAATATGAGAAGAAGAAGATGTTCTTAAAATAGACTATACAGAAGTACTCGTCCTATAGTAAATCATCCCATATTCATAGAATATAGTGATATCATTTCTTGGGTTCGAAAAAAAGAATGAAAGGCACATAAGAGGGACAAAAAATATAGCTTTAAAATTGGTTCAATTTTCTTTCTTTCCCCCAAAAAATCCAGCTTTGAACACAGATATCCGTGAGCAAACAAAAAGTGCGCGAATTAGGAACACGTTGACAAGTGCTGATCAACACACTCTGTTTTTTGTGTTGTGTTGATAGCTGAACACTCGATACCGGATAACGATTTTTTTTTCGTTTCGAAAAAAAAAGTGAAATATAGAGAAGAGTGTGTTTTCTTTTTCGTTCTCGTTGTACATAAATGGTGCAGTTTCTATTATTATCGGGTGTCTTTTATGAAATTAGAAACCAGTCTGAAGAAGAATATTGGGAGCCCAATGGCGATTTGGTTACATATTTTGTTGGACAGGAAGAACCTTGAGGAAAGGAAATGAAAAAAGAAGCAAGAGAGGAATGTTGCTGAAAAATGAGTAGAGGATTTGTCAACGGGTGAATGAAAAAATTCGGGTTTGCCAGATGTTGATTTTTACATGCTTAGATGGATCCAGATCAGATGTATAATGATAAATTGGAATATAATGAAATCATGTTTACTGAATTTAATCAGTGACTACGGATGTGCTCAAAGGAACATCTCAGGGGATGTTGAGTTCTGAAAGTTCTACATCTATGATTCATACAAAGCTTAATATCATTGGAAGCCTTATTATGAGAATATAAGTTTCAGTGCTCGATGTATCATGAAAAGAATGGGATAGTTCAGAAAAATTCAAAAAAAAAATAGGGAGAAAAAACTTAAAGAGGGGCTCTGACCAAAATTCTCCTTTGTACCAAAATTTTCCCAAAACTCTGTATTTTCGCAATATTACTTTGAAAAAATTTCAGGGAAAAGGTAGCATTTTTCCACAGGTAAACTGCGAACGGACCCGTTACGGACTCTCCGCGTTCGCGCGCGGTTGAAATAGGAATCGTATGCGGACCGTGCGCGAACCGTTTCCAGCAAAACACATCACCTTATTGCGGGTTTCTCCGTATTCTGTCCGTTCGCGAGCTCCGTATCCGATCCGACCGCGAATGA